TGCTGAAATACAGATATGTGAATTCTCTAGGCTAGACTGTTTGAACTTTAGAATTTTGATAGTCTCATTTAAACCAATTAGATTCTACAGCAAATCTTTTGCTGATTGCTTCCTTTAAGTTTAACACCTATGCAAATTTATACAGTCTGATTATTCCTCATTCGTATATGGACAATCGAGCAAATTTGCTGAACTATACAGAGCTAAAATCTGTGTAGCTTCACCAGATAGACATTAATATAACTTCTGCAATTCTTAAACTTAATACAGGTTTACATGACAAATGATAATCCATATAAAATCCATGTATTGTTATACTTAATATGCAAATTTACCATATTAATACAAGATTTTAATATACACAATTCCTTGCTTTGTTTCCAAGCCAGCTTGCTATGTTACCATCTTTAATATCAACCTGAAATGCAGTTTAAAGTAAAATAAGTGCAAAGGCAATATTATAATATTAGCATTCTTCATCTTACGTAAAGCTAGAAATGGTGCAATCCTAGAATCAATGCCTTTCCATCAACATGAAGTTAGCGGTATTTAATATGCAAACTAAGTAGGCAGAGACCAGCAATATTATTGTTTTGTAGAGACACTGCATGCAGCTGAGTTTAATCTTTCTTCCGAAAATTTGTACTGACCTATTAAAGTAAACAATGACAGCAAGGATAAGGATAATAGTAAATATTAGAAAAGAAATGGCAAATGCCTATTCCTTTGTAATAATTAGTAATAATTAAAATCTTTTACCATTAAAGGAGGCAGCATAGTTTTTATAACTTTTTCTGATGTGCTGACCTTCAGCAAAAACATTATTTTAAAAAATTCCCAAAATCTGTAGATGTTTTTTTACATACTGTTTTAAATGTATAAATTCCATCTAAAAAGAAAAAATAAGCCCATATAGTTTAAAAGAATTTTGCTTCACAGAAGGATATTTCTATTTCTCTCTTACACCATTTATATTGACCAATTATGTAATTTTTAAAAGGGCCACAACTGTACCTAAGTAGACACAGGGAACTTTGCAACATGTGGGAAATAAAGGTAAGAACTGTCAATAGCTCAATTCAGTGGAAGAACTGGGTCAACATCTACACATGCATGTGCTTCATCACTGCCATGTTCCTTTTATTTCATCATGATCCCTCTATAAAAACAAACTTGCACTTCATTTCAGATTATATAAATTGGTAATTCTCTTACTGCTGCTAAGAAAAACGTGAATGCAACACAGCTCTTTAAAGAACACCCTGCTAAGTATCAAGCAGGAAAACAGTGTGATATGGCTTTTAAAATTTAGATAGTTTTAAAAGAAAAGGATCTTTTGACTGATAAGAGATTTCTAGTGTTAGCTCATCCCAAAGATAATTTCTACTTAAATTTCAGTGATTTGAAGCTTCCTTATTAGGGAGGCACCAAAGCACACTTTATATCTGTACAACTGACAGAAAAATTAATAATGAATGTTTCATCTGACAAAATTAATCTGGTCAAATTTCTGGTGACAAACTGCCTGCCAGTAATTTGAATTTTTGTGACTTTTTTTTAAATGAACTGGCTAAATTATTTTTACAAATCATCGAGGTCTGTGGACTGTTCAAAGGAAGTTCAGCAGTACTTTTTGATATGAAGTTTTGTTTGCAAAGGTTAGCTCTGTTACAGCTGCATCACCTGTTGCATGCATGATTTTAGGCTGTGTTTCTAGCTTCCTGCATTTGGCAGATTTTTTTTTTTTACACTGGGGAGGGAAAAAGCTCAAGCTGTGAAATTCTGATCTGAATTCCAAAATGCATTAGTTCAGACAGACTGAAGAGAGTGATGAGGAACAGGGAGGTCATCTCTCCTGATTAGAGGAAACCAAAAGATTGTGACTTACTTCTTGGCAAAATACAGGCTGAGAAAGAATGTGATAGTCACTTCAAATATATACAACAGGACATATACCAGGGATGCAGGAGAACTACTAATGCTATTTATCCTGAAGGACAAAAACGGCATAAGAAATGGGAATAAACTGGGGAAAGACTATATTTGAACAGAAAATCAGAAGGTTTCCAAATATCAAAATTGCGAGGTTCACTGAGTTTTAGGGGCAAGAAACCAAATTAATCTTGAACTGGAGCTTGACTGGTGAAAGGGGACAGATGATATGGTAGTCAAGGACAAGAAGGACACAGACTTGAGTGACCAAGAAAGTCCCTTCTAGTGCCTCCATCCTGACATTCTTACAATTGCAACTCTTAAAAACAGGTTTCCAGGCTGAATATTTGTAAAGAGAAGGACAACATTCTGCCACAGTATGTTTTCATTTTTAACTGATACTAAGCTCCTTCCAGATGTATTCCAACAGCAAAACATTCAACATGTTGAGAAATTTTAAAATGTGGCTTCTTTAAAGTGCTTGAAAGAAATTGAGTTCATCCATCTTCCCCAAATGAAGCATTTGAATCTCTGAGTTCTTTCCAGAACCTGGCTCCAAACCTTTGGCCAAGTGCATTCCATGCATCCTAAATGAAGTCTGCCTGGAATGGCCCCAAACTTCGATTTTATGAGCAGCAGTCCACAGGTCTGAAGTATGCTTTTCACTTGACAGAGGGATGGATTTGACAGTGACAGGTCTTTTTTTTTCATCGCTCATTATTAGTGCCCTACCTCTCATGCAGTTCCTGTTATCTGGAGAAAGCATCCACCCTGAAGGACAAGCACAGGAAAAAAAAAGTGGTCCAGATGAAGAAAGCAAGCAGAGGTGGCTACAGGGGGATGATGCACAAGAATTGATACCTGAAAAGCAAAAAGAAAGTATTAGCAACTGTAACAACATGAGCGACTGGAAAGACTATTCAATCTCGTTGCTACTGACAATATCAACCCAGCACTAAATCAGTTTTGCTATTTCCTTAAAATTAAAAAATTTCCAAGAACCACAAGTAATACAATACACTCGTAACAGGATATAATTTTTCATGTAAAACCAGTACCATTATCACAGTGGTCTTTTCAATTTTTTTGCATCACAAAGTCTTTCAAACTCCTTTTCAAACTTTTCTTAACTGCTCCAGGAGGCAGGCCTGGGGCATTTTCAGTCTTTGATCATTACAACGCTTCTAGATGGGGGATTTAAATTATTTACTGAAGCTTCTTGGAGAAAACTAAAGAGATAAAATAGTTGCCTCTATCTCATTCAAAGGTAGTGGGAGTTCAAGGCGTAATTTCTTGGATCACTTTGAAACTGTCAGTCTAAGCTTGTAAAATGTAAAAAAGCCAGTGAAGGTCTTAACTTACTGCTATTATTACTATATACTAAAATTCAACTATTTGGATCACTTCCACAAACTTGCTGCTAAAAAGGATTTTTCAGGATAAGCCATCTTTGTAAGAAAATAAAAATCAGATTTTGAGTATATCCTTAGCAATTGCAGCAGGCCTTTTTCTAAGAAGCTTGAAAGTTCCAGGAAATGACACAGTTGTTCCTAATATAAAAACTGAAAAGAACTGATAATAAACTAACAAGATGACAATAAAACAATGGCATAAACTCAGAACTCAAACTAAGAAAATTATTCATCTCATCAGTGTAACAAATCTAAACTCTAGTTGGTGTAAGATCTAATGATTTACAAAAAAAAGAGAGTGGATGACAGTTTTAATACTGCACCTGGAATTTTAATCAGCAAATAGTTATTTCTTCATTTGTAAACATTAGCACGTTTTCCTATTATGCAAGTGCTTTATTCCCTTCTCTGTCTGGTCACATAAAGCACAACAGAACAATTCTAAATGAAAAATCATAAAATGTACTAATTTAATACAATGAAGAAAAAAAAATTTCTCCACCTGTGGTAGAAAGTTTTTAAAACCTTGGGTTGTAAAATAAAACCTCTTAAACCAGGACTACGCTGTATAAATTAATGGTACCCTCTGGTGACTGAACAATTTGCAGCAAGAGTGCTAAGCGGCTTTAGCTCTGAACATGATTGAGGAAGGTTTTGTTCCAAAACAAATATATCACTGAAATTACTAGCACCTTACTCAGATGCAAGTCTCCACCCTCCCCGGTATGACAGTTTTCAAGGGGCAGGGGGAAGAAGTCATCGTAATATTTATTAATCAGAAATACTCTGTACACAAGAAATATAGCAGAAAATGAAACACAATATTCATGTCAATATATTTCCCACTCTTCAAGTCATGCCATGAAATGACGAGAAATCTGATTTGGGAGATAACTCCACCTAACAGAAAGAAAAAAAAAATTTATTTTTTTTTTAACAGTCAGCTGCAGAAGATCACTGCATATGATCTCAGAGGGAATCTTGAATGCAATGAAGGGGTTTATTTATTATTATTTCATTAAGTAAAATAATGCAAAACTGCTTTCAGAGAAGGTTGACGACAGTAATCTTGTCTAAAAGAATGATATTATTAACATACAAGGAACGGAGTCTGATATGCCACAGAGACAAATTTTAAAAATTAAAATGCTTTCCAAAAATGCTCCAATTTTCTTATAAAAACATTCAGAACAGAAGCGTAAGAAAATGGCACATACTACTTCCCTATTATTCTTTTTGGCTAGTCATTATGCTTACATGCTGCCTAGGTTGCTCTCCCTAGCCACCAGGTTGGGCAGGCTGGTTCAGCAGTTGGACAGCCTGAAATGACCTTCAGTTGCAAGTCAATAGTATGAATTACTTGCTTGTTTTAACCCAGCCCATTTGCTGACAAGACTGATTCCAGGAGTGCCCATGCATGACATTACTACATGGCTTCTTCTTGTAATTACCTAAGTTGTTTTGCTGAACTTACTGTTAGGTTGCTTTACAGGATGGACTGCCACAAGCCCCAAAGGCTGGTGAATGTTATAAATCATAACTGTCTGGTTTCCTCCATGCCATTTATTGGCCCGAATTACTCGATTAGTATAGCGGTCACTCCAGTACACAAAATCTTCAAACACAGTTAGAGCGTGTGGATGCTGCAATATCTAGAAGGCAAGGACGTTTACCAGTTTAGTTCTGGAGATTTGTATAGGTGAAGCTTGCGATGAAGTAACAACAGAGCTGAGCATAATTTAAAGCAATAAAGAAAAAAAGCAGCTGTGTCTCAAAAGAATATGAAATATCATCTATTGCCTGAAACACAAGGCATTAATTACAGGGGAAATATACCTTTTTTTTTAAATGAAAATGCTAAATAGACCCTGTGAGATGTACAGCATGAGAAATTAACAAAGCAGTAACTGTAGGGCAGAACACAGGGAACCAACAGATAAAGACCCAATTGTAGATTTTCAAGGGCACAAGAGGAAGTGTTTAGTGAGAGTTATGGACCTTTCAAGACCTTGCATCTCTGATAAGCTTCCCTATAATTTACCAGAGGGTCAAAGAAGGTGGCTTATCTAAATTTCAGAAAACTAGGAGTGAGGCAAGAAAGATTGCACTGGCTCCTATTTCACAAGAATTGTCTCTCTAGCCAAAAATAAAAGCCCCAAGGTTCAATTCTTGAAAATATACATGTGGTTATTTATACCAGCTTATGTATACCAACTGAACATCTGAACTATTGTGGTGGTACAGGGACAGTGCTACAAGCTGCCAGCAGCACTTCATTGGGAGATAGCCTGTAAGAGCTGTAAAGCTGTCACCTTTAGACTTCATGCATGCAGACAGAACAAATGAGAATGATCTAAAGTCTACACTCATCTCCAGGTTCTGTTGAAGATCTCCTGAGAGACTGTGAATAGGATATGCAATTCTTCTTTTTCCAGCTGCAGAAAGCAGCTAAAATATTTCATATCTGCTTCACCCAAGTATTTTGAAGAAAAATACATCCAAGTCTATGACAGTGCAAATACTTTTTTAAGTACTATCAGCAAGGACATGGGAAAACAATGATTTCTTATTAATGTCTTACCAGATCACTTGCAACCACCTGTCGTCTGTTGTTTCCATTGTAATCACAAAAATCAATATAATCAAGATAAGCATCAGCAAAATAGAGAAGTTTATTTGGGTAATCAATGGAGAGTCCATTGGGCCAGTAGATTTTATTGTTAATAATCACTGTTCGCATTTTGCCATCCATGCTAGCTTTTTCAATTCGAGGGTTTTGGCCCCAGTCAGTCCAGAACATTACATGAGCACTGAAAAAAGTAACTTGTGGTTACCAATCTGAAAAAAAACTAGCTGCCTACTGAGAAACATTACACAAAGAGTCATTAGCCAAAAAATAGAAACAACCTTTTTAAGAAAAGTCCTACACAACGATACTGAAATTTCAGAATATTCATTTCAGCAATATGCTCAAGAATTACCATAATTTCTGTTGTAAAAATTCTTTTAATACATCTACTGCTGCTTTCATTTGTCGATAATAGCAGCATATAGAAGCTACTGTTATCGCTGTTTTTCAACGTTGATTATTATCCGATTCTCCAGTTGCTAAATATTAATTTGTTACGGGTTTGTACTTTTCCAGGCATGCATTGATAATATTAACAATCCTGTAACTGAAGAGCCCCACGTGGCTGGCAGTAAACAGAGTTCAAGGCATTGAAGAGCTCAAAAAACAGTACAAGTTTGTACATGAACAGTTCAAATCATAACATTCCATTTATTCTATGTCACTTGCTGTCTGAAATGGGAAGGTGCTTTTGTGATAACATTAATAAGGTACAGATAATTATTTTAGACTTGGGGCTACGAAGGAACCTGTTCCTTGCCAGGTAGGCACACCACATTATATTACATGTAAGTTTGTGGTATACCACCAACTGATAAAGATATATCTGAATTTTTAATTAATAGTTCTTACTAGGAAGCAAATGTAGGAAAATCTGTTTTACAGGAAAAAAACACATCTTGTTACAGTGCAACAGAGCAACAGACTACAAATGATTACCATATGACTTTAAATATTAAATCAACTCTGCAAACACACTATTAAAAAATTGTCTTTTCTCTTCTGCTTGTCATTTACAATACAATTTGAGCATATTTCAAATTTGAATATAGTTACATCATAAAATATGCATCTTTTAAAAACAAATCATAAAAAAAAAAAATCTTACTCAATTCTGGGATCTAACACTAGTCCCCTTGGGTTTGTTACATTTTCACTAATCAGCACAGTCCTGTGGCTCCCATCCATTTTAGAGACTTCAATTGTTTCCAGAACAAAGTCTGTCCAGTAAAGATTGCGTCCTACCCAATCTACCGCTATACTTTCAGTCACGGTGACACCACTGTCAAACACCTGTTTAATAACAAAAATTTAAAGAAAAAAAAAAAAAGGGGGAGAGAGAGAGAGAGAGAGAACAAACTAGTTAATATTAAATTTTTACCCTTTCCATTTCTATAGATATGGAAAATGGGGAACCAAATCTCCAACATTTTCTAGGTCTCTTATGCAGAATGACTCACAACGTACATATTCAAAGCACTGACCACATACCCAAACACTCCTAGTAACTTCAGTGGGTCTACTGAAGAAGTTAGCATCTACTAATAAGAAAATCAACTTATAGCCTCATGTTAAAAAAGGGCTTCTTGAAAGCATTCAGTTTTCTTTTTCAAAAAGCTGTATGAAATGTTGGCTTAGTATCTACAAAGCTGTTTCACTTTGTCTATGTTATCTCTCTTCTTACTATGCTGGGATTTCCCTCTTCCCCTTTGTTAACTGGAGATAGTGTCTTCATTTTCTCTCTGCAACAAAGAGACAAGAATAACTCAGCAAAACTTACTATTTTTCGGTCGGTCCCATTTTGATAAGCACTCCAAATTTTATCCTGTGTTGTATCAGACCAAAAGATACGATCTGTGATTGAATCAAAATCAATAGCCACAATATTCCTCCCATCCCGAACCAGAGAATAAATACTGTGTGACTGAGAGGTGATGTTGTCCACAACGATTTGGTTACGACTTGCCACCAGCAAAAGAAGATTCCCAGACTCTGTCAAAGGAAAATAAATTTTAATAAACCAATAAGCTATTCAACAGTAATTCTGTAAGAAAAAGAAACACAGAGTAATTTGACATGGCTTTATAGCATCAAAGCTATTGTATCCAGATATACATATTGAAAGCACAAATTCAAATCAATTCTCAGGCCAAGATATTTTATCATATCCAGTGTGTCCATCCTGACTTTTGGATCTACCTTGGCTTTTCTCCACCCTTTCTCTATAATTTACTCTTTTTACTAGACTCCCCTTCAGTCTCATACCTGGACCTCGGGTCCTCTTCCCCACCGTCCAACCAGTTTGCTGCTGACATCCAACCCTCATTCCTCTATAAGCCACTCTCAGCTCCCAGTACTGATTCAAACCCCAAAGTTCTTTGCACCACCAGCTAGCTACTCTACTCAGCCTGGCTCTTCCTCCTGTTTAGCAGCCTGCTCTTTTTTCCCCCATTGAGACTGCATGGGGACCAGGGAGGAGAATAAACAGATACAGGAAAGCCACAGGCTGCTGTAGTTAAATTGCTGTGCAGCAGCTTACACTGATAAGCTGCTGAAAAACAACTGAAGAGTAGCAACCATAAAGAGAGCAAACTATGAGAAATTTCCTATTAGTAAGGGCCAAACTTATTTGCAGGTAAATTGCAAGAGTCTTCCACAACCTGAGTATATCCCTATACCAGGAAACCTGTGGTGACAAATTCCATTAGGTATATGGCTCCTCCATACTGTCAGTATACTATGTAAGAGATACAGAACAATGGACAGCTAGGCTGTGTCAGTATTATTGACTCTTTAGAAATGAGCAAAGTACAGCATAGGCACTGGATAAGTCTTGTGAAAGCTGCGATTTAAACGCTCTGTGAGCATTGAACTTTAATAAAGAGCAAATTTTAACCTATGGCTTACAGGTGCCTGGCATTCCTTTTCTCCAGAATATTATTTTTGACCATTCCAGGGTTAAAAATTACAATGTTCATTTAAATATATTATTTCAAGGGAATAATAGTTTCCAATTAACCCCTCAGCTGACAGTTTTAATACTCAAGGCCGTCTGCCATGAACAACTTCAAGCGGCTGTTTACATCAGCTCTTTTAAAGAAGAGCAATATGAAAATGGTAAAGCTGGACATTTTCCAGACACTGTTGTCATTCTTTAGATTGACATCAGTGTTCCTCACCTGCTGCTTTACAAGTCTTCCCATTGGTTTCTAGAATGTATCCTTCATCACAGTAACATCTAAAAGACCCTCTCTCATTGTAACAATGCTGACTACAAAAGCCTGGAGGGTCACATTCATTAATATCTTCACAGGTCTTGGAGTCATTTGCAAGCTGGTATCCAATAGGACAGGTACACTGAGCTCCAAAAGGTCCTTGAATACATTCATGAGTGCAGCCAGCATTATTGTCAGAGCAGCTCTCCTGATCTGAAATGGAGTTGGGGAAAGAAATAAGCAAGTAGTTAACAAAAGCTTCTTATACTAAATTTAACACTTTGCAATGGCATTACTAGCCTAAGACTGCTGCTAAAACATGACTGCACTATCATCAGTTATGCAATGTAAGACTGAACTGAGGCCCTTATGCAAAATATAACACACACAATGCTCATAAAGGCAGTTAACAACATAGTATGTACTACTGAATCCCAGTAAATGAATGCTAAGCAGAAGGCTGTCTAAGCATTTATAAAAATTTTTCTAAACTAGCTGGAAATATACAAAAATTTACTGTACCACTCCAAACCTAAAATTGTAGTAATAAACAATAATTTAAAATCATTTATAATCATACCTGGCTGGGGTTCATCTGAGAATGAGCATTGATTAAAGAGAAGGAGGAAAGAAGGAAAGAAAGAAAAAGGTTATGCTTAAATCAATTCATAATCAATATAAATACAAATTCTGACTACATGTGAGCTTTTAGATTTTTTTCATGATTTTTGAAGTTAGAAATTTAAAAGAAAATATTAAGGACTGAATCACATTTCATCTGAACTTAAAGGCATACCATGTTTTAGTGAAACATGTTCAGGAACACAAAACTCATTCCCATATTGCTATATAAACACCTATACTGAAGTCAGTGGAAGCCACATTTGAATTCAGAGCACAAGATTGGACATAGCTAATGAATTCATCAGTCATCATCGTAGTCTCCTTTCACTGCAAGCAAGTTCCACTTAGTAATCTGAGCTCTAATTTCAGCATGCTTACAATTTTTTCTAGAAATGTTGCTGCATTAAATACAGCATGCTGAATATTCCATTTCTTTCTGAAGCCATAGCACATAGTAGGCTGTAGTAGATGCTTGAACAGTAACTTACTGCACAGTGGGGATTCATCAGCTCCATTAGGACAATCGGCATAATTATCACATACTTTGCTCAGATTCACACAGATACTGTGACCTGGACATTGCCACTGCCAGCTGGGGCACCGGAAGGGTTGAGTAGGACAATCTCTCTCATCACTCATATCCCTGCAGTCATTATCACCATCACAGATCCATGCTCGATAGACACAGTTGCCATTATCACAGTGGAAAAGAGATGGAGGACAGGTCCTAGCAGGACATCTATGATGTTCATCTGAGCCATCTGCACAGTCAAGATGACCATCACATTCCCAGTTAGCAGGAACACAATTGCCATCTGATTGACATTGGAATTCATTCTGGTGGCACATCCCTGGTGGTCTTGTAGCTAAAACAGTAACATTCAATAGTTCAGAAGTTGTTTCAATTTTAGACAGAGAAGCAAAATCACTATGTTCAGTTCATCTTTGGCATAAGTAGATACAATACTATTAAGGACTGTGTTGCTTTTAGATCAGGCCATGGAATCACAGTCAGTCAATCTACATGACATTTCAGAATCTGACCAATTTAATTTCTACTTTATATTATGGTGAACAAGGCAATCCAACTATTGCTAGATTTTGAGCAAGCACATACTGATATCTGTGTATATTGATATCTATGTACCTGCCCAAAGCAATATGAAATTACTTGCTGAAACTAGTTTTCACCACCCTGCATTGCAACTTTTTAACCAACTTAAATGTAAAAAATTACTCCAGCAAAAGTTTCAGTCTAACTCTCATGGATACAAGGTTTTCAGTTTTCTAGATGAATAGATTTCTTAATTTTACTTTTAAACCCTGAGACTGAGGTGCCAAGTAAAACAAAACGTTAGAGCCAAAAGGAATGAAAACTGTACTCTTTGCCAGAAAAATCTACTCTTGAGCTGGAACCTACTGTGTTTGAAATTTCTGCTCAGAGAAACGACTTATAGACAAGTTTCCCTAAAAAGAATTTTGAGTTTTTGAGGACAGTAGTGTCAATTATTTGATATAGCAGATAAAGGAAATTTTCAGAAGCATCACCTAATAACTGGAGCCTTTCTTTCAGCATCAATATACTTACGGCAATCAGTCTCATCTGAGTGATCATTACAGTCAAAAACACCATCACACTGGTAGTAAGTGCTGATACACTGGTCCCCACTTAGACATTTAAACTCTGTGGCACTGCAGTTATATACTACAAAATAAAAAAATATTGATGTTATTTATTTGTTTTACAGAGCTAGACAGTACCCAATTTTTCTACAGGTGCCCAAGTCAGATACGATATCAGGAGTCCAAGTTCCGCTGAAGACCATGATTTCCCTGGGACACAGAAAATGCAGTGACCTTGGAATCTACAGAAAACAGAGGAAACATATTTCAGCCCTCTGCAACCAGCCTAGCAATCAAAGGGCTTACTAAAATGCTAAAACAAGCGTCACAAACAGGTAACTATGGATAGGTTTATTACGCGTTCTGCTATCTTGGAGCTGGTAATATGAAGTCACCAAAGACCCCTCAGGGGGCAAGAGTGAGGAAACAATAAAGAGGCATTCAACAAACGAGGTTACACTTACTGCAGTCACGCTCATCAGCACCATCTATACAGTCTTTGTCTCCATCGCAGACATAAAATGGGTCAATGCAGCGATGGTCTGGACACTGAAATTGCCTGGGTTCACAAGTACCTGTGAAAGCTATTAAGAATGACAATAAACACAGATGTGTTTCTTTTCTCTCTTCTGAAATAAACATAATACTGAGACAGTAGAAAGACACTATCACTAACTTGCAGCATGTAACGCAGCAACTAGTAATCACACAAATTACAAGCACTAATACATTAGTATCAGGTAACTGTTTATTCATATGTAGGCTTGGACTCATACAAAACAAAAAGAAGATTCCACTCAGTGGTAAATAACACTAAAGAAAGTGTACAGAAAAACTACGGTCTTACTTCTGGTAAAAAGTTCCAGACTAGATTAGCTGACTACATCATTAGTCATTACTGAGATCACTCATGAAATAAGTGCTTAGAACATCTGAGCTTTAGCTATTTTTTTGCCCTAAATTGCAGTGGATGACATTGTGCAGCACCATGATTATAACTATTACATTTGCCCCTTTTTTATTATTATTCAATTATTTTTCTGCATTTTATTTGGCTCTGGTAGTTCAAATTAGATGAGTTTTCCACATCTTATGGACTGCAAAATATTAGTCTAACTTAGATATGAGTTCTTTCTTCCTAATTTCATTTATCATCCTTACACCAACAGACAGTAGACATACACAGTTGTTTAAAAAACAACAGGCAGTTGTGATACTCACTGCAGTTTTTCTCATCTGACCCATCACCACAGTCATTATCAGTATCACATAGCCAGATCCTAGGAATACATCTTCTATTATCACAGGTGAACAGGGTTACAGGGCATGAAGTGGGTCCTTGTGTAGGACAATGCCATTCATCACTGCCATCAAAACAGTCGTTATGTTTATCACAACGCCATCGACCTGGAATACACTGTCCACTGGCACAGGTAAAAGCTGATGAAGCACAAGTATTATCTAAATAAAAAACAAAACAGGAGGACTCTTTTATACAGATCTCCAAAACTTGCCTTCCCTGCCAGAGTATTCAGTACATTTAATATACTTACAGAGTGTCTAAAATATGCATCAAATTCTAAAACGCACATTGCTTAAAATGAAAATGTCTGTCATGCCAACATGCTGCAGAACTGAACAGAATGCTTACAAGCTTTTTTAAACTGCAAGAATCAATAAAAAACTAAATTGTTAAGCACTTCAAAACAGTCTAAAGAACAAGAAAAATAACTTCTTCAAGTAGGCATTTGCTTTATACTTTCCTTTTCCCCAAAAGACATTCTAGTTATTCTAAAATAGCCCACTAATAAGAAATAGAGTTTACACCTTAGTCATACTTGTTACTCCTACGCATTAAGGAGCATATTTTATTAACATGTCCTATTTTCTTGTTTGTGATTTAAAAGAAAGAACTGACTCTAAAGAAAGAAGCACCAAATATGTCATAAAAACCTCTCTTCAATATCTTATCAACTATAATTACACCACTGTTCTCTCAATTTACTTGATCAACAAAATATTTTGTGTGAGACACTATACGGTAAAACCGGGAAATGAAACAATGTGTTTTTAATCCACTTCACTGTAAAAAACCAGATGTAACAAAGAGTTCAAAGTGCCCAAATATAATGAAACCCACAAAATCTTTATTCAGATGTTAAACAAAATAAAAGGTGCTGCTCTAATCTTAGAGGAAGGTTGGACAATGCATATGGTTTTGTTATTTTTCTTATGGCGCTGGTTTTTAAATGTCTGAATCTTTATTAAGATGGTTTGTCCCTCCCCATGTGTCAAAATAAGACAAGCAAGCGATACTCCAATATCTTTCAAAATTTACAAAAAACTAAGAATAAAGACAACTTTTTTTTCAGAAGATAAATTTTTGTTACTCTGTAAATTGAATTTTGAGAACTAGTGAGATACGAATATTTTCGTGCATTCTTTAGATGGCCAGTGTTGAATCCCGTATTCCTATGACTTATCTGAGACTTATCTGAATAATTTCCAAAGTAACTAATCTCCCAGGTAGATTTCAGGATTTATCCACAGATGCAACCCTAAAAAATTGGGGTTTATTCCAACGGAATCAGACTGACCCATTGAACTTTCTGAACCGCAAACAACAAATACTAACTGTAAGTTACAGGGATTACTTACTTAAAGAACCACAGTTTTGTTCATCACTGTTATCATGGCAATCATCAACACCATCACACTGATAGTATCGAGGCACACATCTTCCATTACCACAGGAAAATGAGTAGGAGCCACACTGCAAAGTGGGTGGCTCATTGGATGGATCTTCAACACATGTCAGTTGATTTGAAGCCAGCTTCATGCCATAAGGACAACCACAAACTCTCTGAAAATTTGGTACTGGGAAGCAGAAATGGCTGCAGTCTCCATTGGGATTTGTTCCTCTATTACAGTAGTTAGAGCCTTAAAAAGTGATAGAGAAGATCAACGTATACACTACTGATAACAGCTTGGGAACTATTAAAAGTGCATGGTATCTGTAAAAGAATGTTTTACAAAAAAAGATGCTGTAGCAAACCCTGGTTTTGCATACACTGCAAAACAGTCTCAAGTTCACTGACAGTAATAGTGGTAGCAAGTCATAATAATAAATCCCACATTCCATATACTCTTCATTGACACAAATGTTTATGGAAGCTAAGAATGTACTATTAAATTTCATCCACTTTTCTGCCAATTTTCACCAACTGCCTGGAAACAAGTATACTACCCCAAATGAGGACCTTTGTCTGAGCAAGGCTGGGAGACCTGATCCAATCTTTGGACATCAAATAGGTGGTGAGCCTTAGCACACTGTTTGATCATATGTTTGGTAAGTGCTTGGGTGTTTTACTAAATTAACTACAATACCAAATCCTTGTTTCAGATCATAGACTTACCTATGACTTTAGATCATAGAATTCAGCAGTGAAAAGAAGAAAAAATTGGAGACTTATGCACTGTGATTACTTTAAGAATAGTAGTTTGATTAAGAAACGTTTATCCCATTCCTCCAAATAAATAGTTCAGTTTAACTTTTTCTACCGGACAAAGAGAAATACAAGGTTGCAATTGGAGATACAATTACACAAAATATAATGGAATCATAATTTCATTTTACATGGTCATTAAAGTAACAGAAGTGGTGGAAGAAAAATACATACAGTCACAAAACAGTGAAATATATAACATGTGATTGCAAGTGCCTGTGCTGCCTCCCCAGCATGTCAGTTACGATTCAGTAAAGCCATTTCTAAAACTGAGAGTGGAAACCTGCTATCCTGATATTTTGTCTCTTATTCCCTATTTCATGTCTTTCATCTGTACAACAAAAGAGCTCACCTATTTGGGAATGAGCATCGTATGCCTTAACATGCATAATGTTACTAATGCCCCTCCTAATAATAGTCATTTCTCCTCCATCAGACTTCCTCACCCGAACTATTCCACCAAGTCTCCAATCAGTGAAATAGGCATAACCTGTTTTGAAAGACATTTAACATATAACAATTACAGAGCAATATGACATAAAAGAACAAGCATCATGAGAAAAAAACCTGCAAGGCTTTTCATGTAAGTTTAATAATTTTTCATAACTGTTTCATGAAAAAGACAAAAGGACTTCTATCACTAATGCAGTCAAAGTACATCCTTCAGTCACAGGCAGACATAACTTAGAAAAACAAGCCCTCTCAGATTTCACATAAATTGAGATACAACAGACTCAACTGACATTTCAAATTCCAAGGCAATTTTAAAAGTCATTCATTAAGACAATTTTCCAGAAAATTTTAGAATATTAAAAATATTTTTTCCACAAAATCAAAAGGGGTCAGATGCTGACATCTTTCTTCACACACAACATAAATCCAGTGATAAACCCTACATACAATTAATAAAATCCTGAAATTGCTGATCATCTCTAGGGAGGTGACTTACATTGTCTGTCCAGCCTGAGTAGCCTACCTTGGAAGCTATAATTAGTACAGCATATCTGCCTCATTGCACTAAAAGAGTTACCTGATCTGCCTCAAATTATTTAAACACAAATATACATAAAAACAGTCCTAAAAGCGAGTGCTAAATACATAGAACAGAAACTTTCAACAGGGCTTTTTATAGGAAAAGCAGTATTATGAAGGCCATGATATTTTATCTCACATACTCCCAGATCATCATATGAAAAAAACCATCTGTGGTAATAATAGATAATGTTTTTCAATGCCAGACTTACCTCCAAAAATAGTAAGGCCAAAAGGGTGAGTCATCTGAGTAACACGTTCAAGAGTCCGTCTGTCCAGCCCATCAAAGGTGCTGTGCTCAATTTTATCAAAAAAGGCATCCACCCAGTACAGCCTTAGAGAACTAGAAATAATGAAAATGTTGTATCTATCTCTTCAAATGACATTATGTCCATTAGGAAGCATTAACATTTTCTCAAATAATAATCTTAAACCTGACAAGAGGCTATTGGGGTGTGTGGGGAGGGATTCTGAGAAAATCTTACACTTTACAGGCTTTTTAACAAATTGAAAAATAAGGTCTTCAATATGAAAGTGCCAGTGCATGCAATCTGACACAATTCCTTTATTTTTAATCCCTAACAGTTTAAAGGAAGAAACATATTTGCTCAAAAAATTTCTGTCTTCTATGTTGTCCTCACCTCCAGTCAATGGCTAGGCCATTAGGCCAGCCTAGCGTTGTATTCACAATTGGCAAGGCATGGGATCCATCACTCCAGGCCCTCATGATTTTCGCAGGACGGAACCAATCTGTCCAGAATATATACCTGAAAGGACACATGTCAGAAGACACATAAACCCAATGATATAGCATAATTAAACAGAGCAAATGTTTGAACAGCATTAACATTCTTCTTTGTACCACAACTTCACGTAGCTTAAAAAAAATACAATTTTATGTTGACCCTCTCCTCAACTGGTAGTGGTACCAACAATTAATATTTATCCTGTGTACAACAACTTCCAAAAATCTTCTGAAGTGGTTTATCCCTTTAGACATAAAATATCCGTAACTTTATTAAAATTGTTAAGGATTTCATTTAAGTACTGACAAGGAGGAAGAATCAAGCAAAACCGCATCTTCAGGTAATGCTTACAAGTAAGCATAAACATTACAAAGAATTTTCTCCTGATCCTTTTGACTTATGCCTACAGTCAAAGAGTTGAAGCTAGCTAACGTTAAAAAGCAGAGAACAAAAAAGGTTGGGATACCCAAGGATCCAAGTTTAACACTATTCTTATGAGATTACCTCCAAAATAGTATATTTGATTACTAAACATGAAACTTCAATATCCAGGAATTAAGAAATTTGGTAGTATGGCAGTAGGAAGCTGGACTATGCTGTGAAAGAAATGCTGTTTTGGCATGACCAAATAACACAGAGTATTGAATTTGAAGTTAAGCATTTCCATCAAAGAAAAGCAGGGCTTCATTTTACGTACACAGAATCACATATTGTAAGGTCTATATCAAATACAGCCAGTAGTATCTAATATGTTTCAAATAAAGAAATTCAGATAGAAAAAATAAAGGAACCAAGGTTAGCATTCTGGGAACTGAAAGTATATTAAAAATAATTTAGAAAACTTTATCTTTCAACTGAGAAATAGCTTTCTAATCTGAGTGATACAAAGAAACAAAGGTTTTTTGCCTGTTTATCAACCCACAGGAGTAAAAGAAAAAAAAATGGTGCTTTTAAAGAGAATTTTTTAGACTGCTGCTGTCATGTGGAATGTCTATCACCTTGCCCTTTCCTCTGGGTGCTGAATCCTAGGCCAGAATAAAACAAACAAAATAAAGACAAGAGAACTGAAAAGAGATGGTATTTTGGAAAAGAACACAAATAAAACCCAGAAATCCAGAATGAGGTGTAAATCTAACCTCACCAATTCTGCTTAAACCATAAATTTGTTCGTATAGTTTCAAGTAAGAATCAAAGTTAAACTTACCCAATAACAGGATGAACCACTATTGATCGAGGATTATTTAAGTTCTGAACAATAGCTCTCCTAGATTTATCTGCCAGCTTCATCACAGTAATGCTCCTGTATCGAGGGTCTGTCCAGTATAGATTCTTTGAGATCCAGTCAAAGGCCAAATCTTCAACACTTTCCACTCTATTAGCCGTCAGGATTTCTCTTCCTAGAATTTATGATACACATAATGATTGTAAATGTTTAGGAACAGGGGAAATAACATGGATGTAATATTCTGTTCACAAAACTAGTGGTTTCCCTTGGTAAAAATGCTGCCTCTGTGCTACTTTATATAAAGACCAATAACAAAGGGGAGGGGGCATGCCCTTTTCTTCAGGCAAAGGAGGTATATGTTCAGGAGCACAAACCCAAAAGAGGAGAAGTAAAGACTAGCCAAAGATGAAAGAAAGAATCTCTCACTAAGTTTACACTGAGATAATTTTTATGAATGAAGGTCAATAAGGTCAGTGCAGTAAGGACATCTTGCTCAACAGCCAGACCTTAGCTACTCTTTGCATAGTAATGATAGTAAAGGTCAGCTGCAGTCTACCATTACTCTGACCTAAGGCAGCAAGCAAGCTCAGAAGACTATATGCTGCCTTAATATATATTTGATCATTGTTATAAATTGGAAACATTCTTCACACTACCACAAATAGGACTTCCAAAAATCTCACAACCATAATGTTCTTTTTTTGTATTACAGTATCATAACAAGCATCCTGTTCTTCAGATAGGGAAATTAAAAAGAGAAACTCAGTTTCATACAACTGAAAGGCATACTAGTCTGCAGAAACAGACTGGTGACGACAAATACCACTTGTGAGAAGTGTTACAAATAGTTCATTCCCAAATACATTTAGCAAATTTGTCAAAGAACAGGAGACTTCAACGAGCTTAATGCGAGTTGAACAAACACTTTTGACAAACATTTTCCAGATTACTGGGGTGACACTGAGATTTATCTGTATATCTCACAATGTGACTTTTTGTGCTTCTTTTTAGAAATATATATTCTACTCTCCTTACCACAATTACTCTACAATTCCTAAGAATGATTCTCACCTGAACCATCGGTTTTCTGTTTATAGATCATGTCTTTACTTGTGTCTGAAAAAAAAATGGTGTCATCCTGAGCACAGAAGTCTATTCCAACAAAGTATGAAGGGCTCCCTGTTACAGGTATGATCACATCTTCCTGGGTGGAGAGATTGAATGGGATCCCCCGCACTGCCAGCTGGGATGAAAACAGCAGGAACTGCTGCACAGCTGCAAGAGAAATGATCAGACACAGTATTTATTCACAAGGTGAGACAACTGAGCATTAACTGTAAAGCTTTCTTTTCCTTGGCAACAACTAATAGCCTGGAAATAGAAAAAAGAAGAATAAGAAAATAGGAATTTAAATATACACAGACCTAAAAACTGAAGAAGAAAAACAAAACCCAACCCACAATATTAGGTTATGCGGTCAGGTATTCCTCTTGCATTGTTACTGTGGTCCTAGTACACCTTTACAGAAAACATTATCCCTATGGAAGCAGAAATCATCTTCTGTGCTCACCTCTTTACAATCATCTATAAAAAAACCTTACAGGCTTTGTGGAGGCACCATATAACCATAGCATATCGGAACTAGCCAGATAAATGCATGGTCAAATAGTATAACTATAGACATCCTATCTGGCTTAATTTGCCAATAGATACACATGGCAAACCTCCCATCAGTGACAATTTTGCACTCAAACAGGAAGCAGCAGATTGCTGATGGAAGCCCACAGCTCCAAAACTGGATCTCTTTACTCTTGCCATATGTGTTCAAATGGAGAAGAGAAACCTAATCTGCACTTTACTGCACAGGAAGGCAGGCTTACGTGTTCAAAATAATGCAAAATCTGCATATGAGCAAGCATCCATGCTTGATTTCAGGATAAGGGATTAATCATACAGCTGTCTACACATATTCCCTATCTAACTCTCTTAAAATGCTCATAAAAGGTGGTGAGTTTAAGTTGTTGTGGCTTGAAATGAACATCAGCAGAAATTATTACATTTAGAGCTGTCAACAAGAGTTGTGATGGAAAAACATGAAGTCCTTGGCATACTGAACCCACAAAGCTACTGAAGAGAGGAAGGATGTTCTCAAAGTAACTCTAGAGCTAATGGAATAGTGCCATTTCAAACAATCCTAAGGCGTTTTCTTACCAACACAATGTCGTCCATCTACGTGTAGATCAAAGCCCAGTATACACCTGCAGCGATAACCTAGTCCGTCGTTATCTGTTTTGTGGCTGAGAACACAGATCTGTTCACATCCCCCATTATTACTTCCACAAGGATTTCTTACTGGAAAATAATTCAGATAGGATTGTAACTTCATCTGTTAACCTAATGGCATCATTATCTTGATTTTTCAGGATTTTTTTCAACATCCACAATAAATCATGGGGTCTCTGTGGGAATTACATCACATAGAAATCATACACCACCAGTTCTACCCTGGAATGCACCAAAATCACATCAGAGCTAACTGGTATTCAAGGTATTCAGCTCTGTACAGAGATACTCAGCACACAGCATTGAGGCCATAATCTGGGCTATAGTTTTCTGCATATAGATCTACTTCAGAATTATCTCTCACAGAATTCATTCACACTGGTAGCCTTTTCCAACTGCACCCTCATTGCAGTGTTGAGGAAAGAAAGTCCCAAACACCAATACTGCTCATAAGCACAAGTTTGACTTTTCCAAATATCAATACATTTAATAAGCCCCCCCCTTAAATGTTGCATTTGGCAGTTCATTAACTACAGGAGCTAGATGAAACCACTGTGTGATAAAAACCAGTCCAGTTTTACAATACAAATTTATGTATCATAATTATTAGTTCTTTACAGCAAAGTAACAGTCTCTCATAATTTTTACCAACTTTTGTTAAGATAGTTCCTAAACCTCCCTTAATAATCTACTTACTGTCTTACCATACGGCTGTCTGGCAGCATGGTAAACTGTCACTCCGTAAGGTCGCAGTGAAGACTGGTAGATCACTTGAGGGTTAGATTCTGAAAACTTGTTAGCTTTCACCACTGCCATTTTGGTCCAATCAGTGAAATAAACATTGTGTTCAAATAAAGTGATTCCATACGGATGAGGAATCAGTGAGCCTCCATGAGCTATTGTTCTCCTATTATAAAGACGGTTTTAAAATTATTTACAAAATATTATCTAGAAAATAACTTTATTAACAGATGAAAGGATACAGGATTATTAATTCATTCACTGGCTTTTGCTTGTACGTAGAAACTGCCAAAGTACAAACGAAAAAGACCAAATGAACTGAAGAGATGAGGCTAAACATATAGGGTACATAAACATAAAAGATACAGCAGTGAAAACAGAGCAATCAAAAGTGTTAGCAATTTCCAAGAAAACAGAGTGAGTAAACACGATGACTCAAAAATGTAGGAAAAGATTCATAATTACCGAGAGAAAATTGGAGAAAGAGGCCAAACAGAGGAAATTGAAGACATCTGTAGCAATTTGACATATTCAAGAAACCTTGAATGTGAAAAATTTATGGCTGCAACAGCCACAAGCCAAATAATAAAATCCCATGTATGCAGTAAAAAAAAAAAACAAAACACCAAACCCCAAACACCACACCCAAAGAAAACCAACCAACTTTCTTTGGCTTGAACTAATCACCCATGCAAAACCAAGGACAACCAAATGCTAATAAATTGTATCTCTTCTATGCAAGAATATGCTCCTATGCTCCTAGATAAATATTAGGAGATAAAAAGAGATATTTAAGTCCTCACACAATACATCACAATAACACTACAATATCATTTTCATGGAGTCATGAAGGAAGGTCTACAAAATCAGATTAATTCTACAGCTCTAAACAGTTTACGTGTGATTTAGGTTCATGCTGTAGGTATGCAAGATGTGACACAAGTGGACAGTAAGCTGTATTTTAACATTCTTTGCAGACTGCCATTGCCTCTTGCCCACTTGCACAACATGTACAAGATTTTTGATGTTGATGTGAGTGATCGGTTTTTATCTCCAAAATCCAGAGATTTTACTAAACACACTCTTGTCTTATTAAACCCTGATAAAGGAGCAAAGATACCAGCATTATTTTTATAATTTTGTAAGTGAAAAAATACATTGAGCAATAAACCTGTCAAATGAGCAGAGGACTATTTTTTAAGTCAAAATATAGGAGGTATGCTAAAGGGTACAATTTTTTTCTCGTGCTTGAGTAACAGACTATCACAGATGCAGAGATAAGCACTAAACACTATACTATAAGACACAATCCCATAAAAACTCAAGGACTCCTTTCTTGAATGCTGTGATATAGTTTCCCCAGCACCACAGGAGGGTGAATGATAATTTCTGACAGCAAAGATTTATAAAATGTAAGAAGAACACAATACCTATTAGACGAAGCAGTGCTTTGGAATGGAATATTTCAAATAAATTCATTCATGAAAAAGATGCAAAGAAATGATGATGGAAGACAATGGATATAATTCAAATATAAAAAAAAGCAAATGCTATAAAAATGTGTGCTGTAATGGTGGACTATAAAAGAAGTACATTATAAAAGAAGTGCAGTTAAGTATGCAAGGTAGAAAAAGGACAAAGAATGATGGAGGAATTAAGGATTGTCTAGAAGCAGCATGACACCATAGATATCAAGGTGCATCACATTCATTATATCATAATTTTCATCCTTTGTGTATCTCATTTTGAATCAGTGTATCTGTAACCTCCAAGGAATAATATTTCTCCTACCTTTGAAGCCCATCATAAGTTACAGTCTCAATGTAATCAAACCGGCTGTCAACCCAGTAAAGTCTCTTTGATACAATATCCAGAGTTATTCCAGCAGGCCAGCCTAATTTTGTTTTTATCAAATCCTGACGGTTTGTGCCATCCATGAAGGCCCTTTCCACTTTAGGATCACCAGACAGACTATCCCAGTCTGAGAAAAACAAATAACTATAAAGGAAAAAAACCAAAAAAGTCCCATGTTTCCTTGAGATTTTACAAAAAAAATGACATTTTACATGGAATTTAAAACCAGCACCTTTTCAGGACAGAGTTTGATTTTCAGCTGGCATACCATGAAAACACACTTTATACCTCCTGCCCACGAAGTAATTTGCATTTTCTTTTATAGACTGAATCTAGAAAGAAACATGCTTTCACCCAAAAGACCTCAGAAATACTGAGTTTCCTTAGTAAAATACAGACTTAAGTGTACTGCCAGAAATAAACAAGTGACAAATAGATGCATCATGAAAGCAATATCCATCACTACAAGTTGCATGAAATTCCTCTTCCCATTCTCTAAGGATCCAAGTTTTCATGGCTCACATACATTTTTGAAGCCTGTTGGTTTGGGAGACACTAGCTTCCCTGGCATCACTACCACTTTATTTCATATAGTAGTTGTTCTGTATCACAACAGAAATCTTTCAGGATAACTTCTACTCTTCTGCAGGGCAATTCCACAGTTCCTGTTTTCAGCTGCTCATGTACATACAACTCTAGCCATAAAACAGATTCCGCACATTGGGAATAAAAGCAGTATGTAGCCCTCCCACAACAATTTAAGGTGTAGAATAGATTAGGATAGAATGTAAATGTTTAAAACATTTCATACCTGATTCTAAAATGACCGCCCTAGCTATTTCTTAGTTGTCCTCCTTTTGCAAGGGAATAAAGGAATTTATCGTTACCTGACATGTATCACTTACCCAACAGTTGGATCAAGTGCTATTCCTCTAGGATTTCCAAGCTTTTCAGCAATAAGGGTCACACGGTTTGTTCCATCCAAGTTAACCATATCTATTCTGTTCACACTGGTCTCCACCACATATAGTTTATTGTTAACCCAATCCACTGCTAGATTTTCAGGTGTGTCAACTGAAACATTTAAAACTTCTTGGAAATCAGAGCCATCAATATTAATAGAAAAAACCTGAAAACAATACAAATATTGTCAGTGCCCACATGATGTTTTGCTAATCACAAGACACATGGCACCTGTCCTTTCTCACCACATTGAGCAAATATCCACAACTGGCTGTTAGACACAACCAAGTTACCCACTAAGCTATTTCTTAGCTTAGGTTTTTTTGCAAAAATTTGGAAAACAATGGAAAACTACGGAAAACTACAGGAAGCTTGCCTTCAACTAGTATTTCTGCAAAATGGACAAAGTAACAGACTAAAACAGCCTTGTGCTTTATCAAACATGACAAATGGCTGGATTAAAAAAATAAACAGATGAGGAAAGTGCATCTTGCTTTCCTGGAATCTAGCAAAACCCAGTATTTTCACTAATTGAAAACAAATGAACATGTAAAGCTCTCATCAGTGACCAGAAACAAGAGGGGGAGCTCTTACTGCACAACCACTAAGGGGAAATTGCAAAGTAAAGGAAGAAAGGGAAAGCTCTCCGTCCTGACAGAAAGAAGGCTCAGTATTACTTCTGGTCTCCTTTATTTAAGGCTAATTTTAACAGCATCATGCTCAAGAAGAAATAGTGTTGTTATCTTACAAGCAAGCTCAGAGCTACACGAAGCAAACAGTATAAATATGGTAATTTTCTATATACAGTAATTGTGATTATAACACTGGGTAATAAGAAAAGCTACGAATCATTACCCCTATTTTGGAATAACAGCATGAGGTTTGGAATGTATTTAAATGAAAATGCAGATTACCACAAGTAAATATATGCAAGAAAAATAAGAGCTGAAATAGTTGTATCATTTCAAATATTCTTCAGCTCCAGGTAACAATAATTAAGCAAACCATTTAACTGTGTATTCTGTTCTTTGGAAACCTTGTTGACGGAAGAGCTTATGGGCATTAGGTTATCAGGCAGTACACTAAATGAGATAAAGATGACACAGAACACAACCCACAAGTTTCTGGTTTAGTTTACATCTTAATCTTAAAACAAAACCAAAAAAAGAGGACAACTAAAACAATTCCTCTAATAATACTTTTCTTTTAAGACATCAGGTGAAAATATGCATCATAGAAGAAAATTCTTAATGTCACTGTTTTCATCTGGGTATTCTAGCTGAACTTAAATTAGATTAATTAATCCTAATTAATTAATTAGGATTTAACTATATTGGGGCAGGTAAAGAGGTAGTCCTGGCCATCTGGGGTGTGCAGTGAAAAAACCCGTACTATCTTTTGTTTATGCCTTTTACAGAGATAGCATAAATCTCCTGTCTCATGAAAGTTCAGATTTGACCCTGACTTAATTCAGCCATTGTCAATGCAACTGCAGTAATGGGAACCCACTGCAGTGAAAATAAAAATGCCAGAATTGTGAACAAGTCAAAAATTGTGTATACAAATCCTGTCCTACTTGACAGCTATGCAGTGTGCTTTCCAACAGAACCAACATGGCACTGTAGTAGAAACTACAGTTTACAGCTTATGTGTAGGTTCAGAATAATGACAGTGACACCAAATTGATCCATACATGGTGTCAGCAGGAGGCAGGCCATGGATTCTCCCTCAGTCTGCATGACAATCAATATGGGGATGAAGATTGTGGAGTTTCAGCACTTGACACAGGACTTCTTTTGTTTCAGTAAGTTATGCACAGAGAAAAAGAACAACGGTGAAGTCCAACTTTCACAAGGGTCTCCAGACTGTTTTTTAAAATTACTGTCTTTTACTGCATCTTGAACCTAAAATATTTCCTCTTCCAAAAAAAAGAAGTAACAAAATATTGGCTCATTACACAAAATATTGTCAATATTTCTTATCCAACCTCAATTACGGTGCCATTTGAAGTATATGAAGAAATCTGATTTTTATCATCTTGGAAGGCACACAGCTTTTACATTTTAAATGATCATGTTTCAAAAAATTACCAAGAAAAATTTGTTCAGTTTTGAAAGAATGTCTACTATTTCTCTTAATTAGTTTTTTGGACTCCATCTCCAGTAAAATTAAAAGTTGCTCAAGACATTCCCATATAATAGGATTCTTTGTTTAATATCTCACATGTAATAGTATAGCTGGAAAAATGCAGTCATTAACATAAAACATTTCAAGGAGCTTTTTTGTTAAAAACCAAAAATACAGCCAGCTTCTGCTCTCAAAAATGAAGGCCCATCAACGCATTCTGCCTCTTGCAGTCCTCTACTTCCACATACACAAAAATATATTCTTCTTGAAATTTCTACTCACCTTATCTTGCACTGTATCAGTCCAAAAGATTCTGCGCAGGTAAAAGTGAAAGTCCACTCCAACTGCAACCCCACGATTCCGAGACTGCACCAAAGTACGAAAACTTCTTCCATGAAGATCTCCAATCAGTAAATCACGGCCATTGGAAAAAATAATTGATGCAACACCAGCTGAAAGCAGGGGTGACAAATATATGACTACTCTGCAGGCAAGCTATTTTGCAAAGGGACATTGAAATATATACATACTGGTTCATGCACACTAGACACAAAGGTTTAAATAGATGCTCAGACTACAATCTGTACAAATGTTTCTATGTGAGTACTAATTTGCTTTGATTTGCCTTTGGTTTCTAGACTTGGAGCAAACTAGGCAGGAATATGTATTTAAAGCCCCACCAGTTAAAACTTTTACAAAACCCCTGTGCATCTGAACTCCAAAAGGCTATTTCTACTCTTCTATTTCCTTGCTTTAGCTCCCTTAATCAAAGTATAAACTTTCTTAATATTTTTCTGCCCCATGAGATTCAGATATTCCTTGATTCTGGCAGGCAGGCCACGTTTCTTATCTTTTTATGTACTGCGCTATCCTATCCACCTACTTCATTTTCTCATCTCATCAGAAAATCTTTGGTGTATCTTACAATAGAAGAGAGATTCCAGCAAGTCTTTGAAGGAAAGCTCACTTTTCAAAGTAGATGCCTGTTGAAAGGCGTGGTGCGAGTCTGACAAGAATATATTTAAGTCTAAATCCTATTCACCCTACACATAAAACTCTCCCCAATTAAAGCAAAAATGAATCCAAGGAAACTGATTTAGAGGAGGTATGAAATTCCCCCTATAGGTGCCAGCAGATGCAGAGTCTCTTGATATTTGCTGATGTTCTGAATGCTGTCCTGACCTTAAGTCCTTAAGACCGGAGTTAAGTTAAAATCAAACACAATTGTATGGCATAGCCGTGCAAACTGCCCCATTTTATCTAGCTCTGTCTATTAGTCCAACAACAGCAAGAGGCTTGCACTGCTGTACTCTAACCTGAAGTGTTGGCCCGACAATGCCGATGATGCTCTAGGAAATAACCTTCCACACAGCGGCACTGGTGATGTCCCACACGATCTTCACACAGCTGGTCACAGACACCCCACATTTTGCAGTCATCAAAATCTGTCAAGTGAATAAGGCCTATTTATAAACAATGCTTTGTATAAAAGGGATGTCATTATATTTGGGAAGCTGAAAGTTTGTCCTCTCTGCTTGCTTTATATCTGTTTGGAAAACTGTGGAAGGGGAAGAGAAGTTTTGTATGTTTTTCCACAAATTTGCTATTTCTAGATAACAAAGCAACTGATGTTTGCTGCCCAGTGACATACCCATGCCCCCCCCAAAAAAACCCACACCTGTCAGGAGAAGAGCAAAAATCATTGGAAGGGATGTCATTGTCTACTTTCCACAATACAGAATATGTCTATGCAGTAGTCTTCCTGCAACAGACCTGTACACTTTGCACACACACACTCAGCTGGATTTAAGCCCACTCTGAAGGAGAGTCCTACCTTTATGTTCGTGCAGTGCTCAAGCTAGTAAGTCCTGCTAAAAGGCAATGTTTATTAGCTCAGACTTGGTACCAGGTTAACAGGTGTCTGATTTCCAATTAAAAGCTGGCTGTGCACCAGAACCAGCCAGCAAAAAGTACAAAGTAGTTTACTGTGGCATGCAAAATACCATATAGGTAGATTCTGCAGCTAGGACGACCGAGCAAGTTCTCACAGATGTATTCTACAAGCAATTTCCAGGGTTGCTGCAGAATCTTTTACTTCTAAAATTGTGAAATATTTAACTAGTCATCTTTTAAAAACAAGGATTTTTAAAATCCTAATTTTCTAAGAAAAAAAAATTCATATCTGAACACTGTCTGATATTTCATCTGATCGGTGTTTGTTTAAAGCCCAGGAGATTTCTGACACTACTTAACACATGGTTTTGACATTAAAAGTCTGACCTTCTTCACTTGAAAACCTGAGTAGAATCAGTACATTACATTGCTGGAAACTGGTAATTCCACTGTTAAGCCAAAAAAGGAGAAAATGAGATCTCAAATAGTCTTCCTACTGGAACTTCTGGCTTTAAACATTAACACATAAGTGAAAATGAAATGTTTCCTATATAGTATATTTTGGTACTAAAAAAATGTTGTTCTCAGTAGCTTTCCAGCTTCCATACATGTTAAAAAGCTTCAGTATATAGTGAGCCAGAAGGAAACAAAGAGCAGACAAATTGAAAAGATTATGGTTTCAAAAAGTAATACACTTCGCTAACACTATGGTTTCATTCTTCTGGCCTTAAACCAAAACCACTGATTTAAACTAAGATCTGGAATTATACACTACTGACTGTGAGCCATTGCCCCATGGCAAGTCTTGCTCCCACTACAAATATATACCTAGATCTCGGCAAACCAAATACATTGACTCAGATTTACAAACCAGCATCAGATAGCTAGGTTTACAGGGCAGTCAAAGAACAACACTCACTGAGACTGTACCAGGTTTGCAAATGTGTCCTTCATGTATTTCCCACATAAGACTGAAAGAACGGAGTAAATTTTGTGCCTGGAATCAGTGCATTGATTCCTCCTCTCTATTAAGAGCAACCATATTGTCACTGCAGCTCATACAGCCCTAGGCCACCCAGTATTCTTGAAAATACAGAAATCTCATTAGAGACTGAGCACCTGGAATACTTTTAATAGCACAAACATCACAGCTTGGGTTGAAAACCCATAACAGATATTTATCCAGTTTCTTTTATTAGGCAGTGCTAAACTTCATGATTCTGAAGTTATTTCCAGTTACCGAGATAAATCATTTGTAGTACCAAGGGTTTGTGCTACCAAGTTACAGCAGCTACAGAATAGAAATGCAACACCAAAATACCTCACTTACCTTTACATTCTTGCAAATATTATTCATTTTCATGTAAATAATGTATATACTGAAATGTCATAGGAGATACTGCCATTCCATAGTGCAAATACAAAGCATCCTTTTCCTTTTAAAGTACAATGTTCTACTGTCTTCATACACAGCCACTTTCAAAAAGCATCAAACAATTCAATATCATTAACTATTTTTCCAGGCATACAACACCACACATCCCTGGAGCAGAAACAAACTCTCATCTAACCACTAAAAGACCTGTAAAAATTTTGTAATAAAACAGCCATACAAGAGTAAATCTTTTTAAACATCATCATGCTCTCACTATGTCTTTAACAGTCTTACTGAAAGAGATCTTTATGATATTTCTCTGGGTTGTTTTTGTGTCACCATGCTGCCATTGTACCACTTAGATTTTTATTCTTTTGCTGACGCTTGAGATTTTCTATTTGCCAGTACATCCACCCATTTAGAAATTACTCACCTTCCTGGAATCCAAACTTTCCCAATGAGCTGTGAGGAGGTACTAGATATCTGCAATCACTGTACTTCACTTACCAATACAAGTACGACTGTCATTGCTACTTATTGTATATCCTGCAGGGCAATAACACATCCCTCCTGATGGAGAAGAATGACAGCGATACTGGCAACTCAGAGCAGCACAGCGTGATATGTCTAAAAAGGAGATAAAATAGTTCAGAAATACAATTATACATATTACCAGTAGAACAGCTTTTGGCCTTACTAAGAGTTACAAAGCTATAGTCTTTTCTATAATGAGTCTACAATTTCAGGAACAGCTTCTTAAACAAATTGCACAAGAAATTACGTCTAAAGTTCCACGAAATCACATATGCTTACATGCATGCAGGCAAGGAAATGGAAGACAGAAGATAAGCTACTGTTTATAATAGGTTTTCAGAACAGAGTTGAAGGATAAGCATCAATCTTATATGAATCACCACTGTTAAGTGCCATGTAAAAAGCTGCACAGAGGAAGCCATCTGCAATGCACCATAACTTTCTCTGGTTCCATAAGACCTACTTGTGAACAACACATCCTTGAGCTCCATCTATTGGCATGTAACCTCATCATTTACTCTTTTAAGCAGAAAAAACCCTACTACATTATATTAAGAAGAATAAGTATATTACTCCAATATATTAGAATATATTGGTTGGGTTGTGTCCATGGAGAAACTCTTCTTTATCCTTTTCTTCTCTCTTTCTTGTTTTTTCCTTCACCACTTCTCCCTTTCCTTGTACTACTACCTAATAAACAATTAGTGATAGGTGATCAAATTATGATTGTAAAGAACTTGCTGACTTCTGCCTTGCTCCTTTCAATCTTCCTTTTCCTCAGTTTCTTAGGTTAAACTCCTTGCTTTGCAGCCCACATCTGATGTTAATACTAAACCACTCAGCAAAGCAAGCAACACCTTTTTACAGTAAGATTTAATTTCCTATTATTTTTTCTGCCCTCCTGTTCCAAAAGGCATGACTTTATTAATAGGACTTTTCCTCTGTCCTAGAAATTAAAAATGTAAAATATCCTGGTCCTGATTCTCAGGGGGAATCAATATTCTTAAGAGTGAAATTAACAGGAACTATGCGTGCTTATTGCCTCAAACAGAGAAAACCCAGTATACCACTAACTGGAGAACCAGACATCCCAGGTGAAAAGATATTTTTGAAAACTCTAAGTGACTTAGCCAAAGGCTCAGGATACACTGATTCAGTCCTGTGTTCCAGCAAGTACACAACATTCCTTCTTACTTATAAAAAGGGAAAAACACAGGTATTTAAACAAAAAAGGCATATAGCACACCTTTCCCTGCCTTCTTGAATACATTTTAGGATATGGAGAGTGAGTTAAAAATCATTATTTGTGAAACTTCATGTACAAGTTTACAAAACAAATGGTCTGTTTGCAGCATATATGCCTCTTTCAGACCATCCAGTCAAAACAGTGCCAACAAGAATAGTGAGCTTCCAAAACTTCAGCATCATTTAGGAGACAAAAGGTGAATCTAAAAAGATATCAATGCTGACATTTCTGCTATTTGGTGTATGCTTTTGATTCTAATACATACTGCAATGTCTGCCCGCAGTGATGTTAGTTTCATCTTCTCCTGCAGGGCAGTCTGCATCCCCATCACACACTTTCCCAATTGGAATGCAATGCCCTGACCCAGGGCAGGCCCACTCTCCTGGGTAGCATTCCTGGCGACCACTTTCTATGGAAAAGAAAAACAAGAATAATTGAGGAGTATGTTTGAAGTAACACTTAGAATTTCTTCCCTAACAAGGTGTTTGTCTTCCCAAGTAACCGTTACGCATGATGGAGTCCTGCTTTCCTGGAGATGACTGAACATCTGCCTGTCAATGGGAAGTAGTGAATGAATTCCTTGTTTTGCTTTGCTTGCATGCATGGCTTTTGCTTTACCTATTAAACTGTCTTTATCTCAACCCACGAGTTTTTGTACTTTTACTCTTCCGATCTTCCGATTCTCTCCCCCATCCCACAGGTGGGGAGTGAGTAAGCAGCTGTGTGGGGCTTAGTTGCTGGCTGGGGTTAAGCCACAACACATAAGTAAAAAAAAAAAAAACAAAAAACCACCAAAAACAACCACCAACAAAACCAGGTGAGATGGAATTCTAAGGTTTTCACAGAATTAAAATGGATTCAGAACATCTTGATTGGTCAAAATTTCATAGAAGTAGCTTAGTGAGGTCTTCCTCTGAAAATGTCATCATTAGAAGTTAGCATTAGTATATACCACATCCTCTTTCATCTTCATTATCTTCACAATCATCATCTCCATCACATATCCAGCTCTGATGAATGCAACGGCCACTTGGGCAAGTGAAGAAGTTGCCTCTGCAAGTTGTGTAAGCTAAGGAAAGAAACATGAGAAAGTCAAACTACTCTAAGTGACTAAAAGGTTAGAAATACTAATACTGACTTGTAGATGATTAGTCATTTATGATCTCTCCTGAAAAACTGAGCCAGCTCCATACCTTGTATATATTGTAAACACTGCTGGTTTGCCCTGGTTTTAGGTATGAACTTTATTTTAGAATACTCTGGTTCTTTACAGAAATGAAAGGGAAGGCTAAATTTCTCAATTCATTGTGCAACTAGATGCAGAGCACCTTATTAATAAGGTTCCTAAAGGTGGACATGACAAGGAGATGATACTCAAGACATCAGGAGGAAAATATTTGTATGCTTTGCATTCAAAGAAACAGAGGTAAGAAAACCAATGAACATTTACGTCAAAGCCCTCCATGGCTGGGAAGCATTCCCTGCTAAGAGTTCAGAAACATTTGTGGGTCCTCCAAAGGACACGCATTGCCAAAGACATAGAAGACAAATACTGTGGGTGGGGGCATGGAATCATACTGGTGTGAGGTCCTTGGTAGGACAGAGCAACTAACTGGCAACACATGGCCTTCCTGCAATGCAGAATATAAAAGTTAGATCCTATAATCAGTGGGGGACCTTTTTAAATATATAGCTCACATAAGTGATAACTCTACAGCCATGATTTTGGCTGGAGATGCAATACTTTGGGATGCCCTGATTGTGAAGAAAAGAATGAGCAAGAAATTTCCAGAAATGGAACAGTCAATTTAAGACCTTATGTGAACATCTAAAGGACAACTATCTGTACAGTTATCTGTCTGTAAAGTTGTACATTGTAGTCACTGGGGATAATTCTAGAAGATCCACTCCATCTATCGGAAAATAAAAATCTGAAAAAGAGCCAAACAAATTTGGACAAAAAACAATAGCATGCTGTATCTAACTGGGATTTCAGAGTGAAGGAATTACTTTTGGGTCACGCTGAAATGAAGAAAATGACAACAACAGAAGTAGTGAAGAAGTTCTATGTGTTAAGAAGCAAACTGTCACTGAATCCAGCAAATTCAAACAGTAAGCACACATCCAGGCACTTAGCAGCTAAGACAACCTGAAAAAAGTCTATCAAAGTAGCAGTGCAATTTTCATCTTTCCATACAAAAAAGTCCTTATAGAACAGTGGTTAGCTTTTGATTGCTGTATAGGCAAGCAATCTACTTCCTGCCATCTGCTTGAACCAGTTCTTGGTAAAACAGTTAAAGAAAGTGAAAAAAAACCCCAAAACATCATACTGCAAGAGTTTTCATCACTCCTATCTCCACAGTCGTCGTCATGATCACAGATAAATGCTCGTGGGATGCATTCTCCATTAGCACACTGAAACTGCGTACTGGTACATCCATGTGCTGAAAGAGATTTTAGCACAGAAAGACATACAGAAAATCTGTCAGAAAACTACAGTTTTTAATTTTAAAAGAGGGTCTATAAGGCATATTTGTTTGGGATCGCTCTGCATGTGGTACTTACTGCAATTAGCTTCATCAGAAGAATCTCTGCAATCGACTTTGCCATCACATCGCTGGCTTGCATTAAAACATGCTCCGTTTGCACATGATAACTGTTCACATCTTGGGTAGTCTACAATAAGAAATCCTTCAGTATTAGCATGAATGTTAGACTATAGAGTATAATGAGTCATATATATCCAGTGTCAGCAAGAGTATCTTGATTTATAGGAAAACAAAAAAGGAATACAAAACTTCCTGTACTACTACTGACAAACAATCCATTTATCCAGTATGCTGTCTCCTCCAACAGATTCTAGACAGATCCTACAAAACCTCGCAAGAACCAAGGGAAAAATTAGATGCCCTCCCACATCCCAAAAAGATTTGCAACTCAAACAGTTTGCAGTATGATGTAACATGTAACATGAAGGGAGAGCAAGCAGTGGACTTTTATTTTATTTACTTGTACCTCAGTTTTACACTCTATTATCTTAATAAAAATACTTAGGTAGAAAAGGAGTTCCTGAAATTTATAGTTCCTAGGTCCTCTTAGAATGTTCTGAGTTCTCAAACTCAGAGACTTCAGGTTTTTATGGTTTTATTATAATTAAGCCAAGGATGTTAATCTTCCAAGTCCCATTATCAACTTTAGGACCTCTGGTTTTTATTACTTGTTTTCCCCTTCCCAAAACAAAGAAGATGCTGCAGAATGAATGACTTTTCAGTTTCTGGCTGTTCTACTTATGTAGCTGACCTACAGGCCAACACAAGGGATTATTTCAAACAAAAACAATTCTGAAAATACTTACGCATACAAGCAGTCAGTGAGTTCAGTGAAACTATCCAACAAATTAAGCATGTGCATGTGCTGGAGTTGAGTAGGAGAATATGAGCTTAGTTTAGCTCATTGCCATGCAGACAAAAGTTACTTATTTCAGAAAAATGGCAAGTATGAAAGCAAATAATTGGTATTTTTGGAAGTGAGATCTATTGAACCTTTGCCTCTATATGGAAATACAGGTAGATAAATGAACTCAAAAAAACCCAGAATAACCAAATTTCATTTTGCACCTTTTAGATTTTCAGCTTGAATTCTTATCCATTTTACTTCCATACGAGTTAATAAGGCAGATAAAGCAGGCTCTCACTTACGCACATTTTCATTCATACTCTTGGAATTCAAAACATGGATTATAAAATTACTCAAGCAGAACTCAGAAAAGCTGCATTTTTTCCAGGCAGTGGCAAACTGTTTTGCTTGCTTCTGCTGTTCTATATATCATCACATTCCCACTAAACTTCAGTCACCTATGGAATAGGCTTACGTGATCTTAACTGTTAAATTCTTAATATGAGAGAATAAACAGCTGTGTTGATGTCCACTACAAGTCTAGCCAGGCTACCTCCCTGATTGATTCATTTACATTTTGTTCATTTTCACTGCAATTAATGTAAGTCCACAACTGGCAGGTAGGAACAGTATGTGACTAATCAGAGAACAGCAGTTGCAGATTACCAGGGTTCCGGTTCCAGCTACAGCGTTCCTGTCTGTAGCCTTCTGGTGCTAGTTCCCAGACCTTTCATTCCAAAAGCCTGCACTGACAATGCCAACACACTCCCTAAACATGATTAACATCCTTTAGCCCCACTTCTCAATCAGACAAACTCCCTTGAACACAGACATCTCATCCTTTTCTTGCTTGGGTTAGGCTTGTTAAGAGTATGAACAACTCATAAAGCTTTGGGAACAACATGGATTCTGAAGTCTTAACTCTGCCTACAGAAAGAAAGAAAGGCCTGACCTGGGGCCACGTTTTATGCTCGCTGTGGAATCAATGCTTCCTCCCTGTCTGGAAGCAGAAAAGCCATCACAAGGAGGAACCATCAGGAGTTCTATGGCATAGCAGGAAATAGCTATGGCAGTACAAGAGCACTGTAAGTATTATGGGGCACATATAAGAAAAAGAACAATAAAAGGTATTTGTTTTGTAACTGCACTGAAGTGGAAAAGCTTTTAAGGGGGAAAGGGACAGTTTCGTTCTTCATCTTTCTTCATGTCCCACAGAAATACCTCCTCTGATGTTCCAAACTCTTTCTGATGGATTGAATGTCAAACAAATAGGAAGTTGAACCCGTTCCCTTGCACTGCCTGTTTCTTCAAGAATGCCCAGGCAAACTAACCATCTAGTCAGTAATAAGATTTTCTCAAGCTCATATTAAACTCACTTAGAAGAAGGGACACCTTGCCAAAGTTTTCTCTCCTGCAGCAAGCCTGGAGAAGTCCTCAGCCTGGAAAAATCTTTATTATATTGTATAATCTAGTGTATAAATGCAAATCATTATAAAAATACCAAGCAGGGCAATAAGTAAAGGTGTTTTGAAGACACTTCAAAACACCTTCTGACTACACATTCTGACTACATTGACAGTTTACTAGAATGTGAACAAATACCTCTTTTTCCTTATTTTCTTTTCAAATCTGCTTGTTGTACAGATTCTTTATTTTAATTGTAGTTGCAGAAGCAAGAACATTCTTTGAAAAGCCTGATGGAGATGAATTTAACTTTTAAACCCTGTACAGGTAATCCCATTCCCAATCCCCTGTCTAAAGACCAAGCTTAGTAAATTAGTTCTGATCACAGCTTTCTCACTGATCTGAAAGATATTTTTCACTGCATTATGTATTGTACATTGTACTGTTTGTACCTGATAGCATATGATTTTATTGAAATGGTTTTAATTATTTGGGGCATTAAGAACTAATCCTCATGAATAATGGCAAAGCTGTGAGTTACATCAAAGGCTGTAGCCAATGCACTGCAGGGTTCAGGAGCACCTGCACCATCAGGACAGTTCCACAGTAGCTGGGATAGCCATCCACATTTTTATTGGAGGCAAAGTAACAGAGATACAAGAATCAAGCAAGAAATTATGATTTCTGTGAGGGCCAACCACTGTACTACACTTTCCAACAGCTTCTAGCTAAGGCTCCTGTGGAAGTCACGCACAAGATGCACCTATGGCATTGTGTTTCTGGTGGACTCTGTCAGTGTTGAGAGAATGAAAACAGAACTTCATAACAATATTAGTATATCTGAAAATGAAGGAGTGCCTGTCCTTGCAGTTGCAAAAAAACAGGACTTCTCCCTTTCTTTCTCTCCCAAATTTAGAAAACATCAGCAATGAGTGAGCTGAGTTGTTCTATTCCCTATCACCAAATGGAAAGTTCTCAATAGGAAAAGAAGAATCTGGACCTTGGCAGTCGGGAAGGTAGGAATGGGATGAACCCCCTAAACTGGAAGACCTATACAATCTAGCTTAATGGAAAGCTCTCCAGCAAAGAAAGTCTGGAAAGCAAGTATCATGACATTTTGAATTTAAGTGGGAAGGTCTTGTATTAGTCACTGCATTTGGGGCTTACACAATAAACACTTCCTAGCTCTTATTTGACTTTTTTTTTTAAAAATAAGACTTCTCTGTACGCACCTGATCCCAGAGCTATGCATTTGGGTATAAAAACCCATAGCTATGCAAGAACTGATACTGATCAGAGAAGCTGATCACACTGTTCTAGGGGGCACATGGAAAAAGTGTCAGCACTCTGAGTGACCTGGAACTATGTAAAAACCAAAAGAAGGGTTCTCTTCCAGGGACTTGGACATGCTACACCAATGCACGTAGCATGGGCAACAAGCAGGAGGAGCTGGAAGCCCTTGTGCAGCAGGATGGCTATGACATAGTCGCCATCACAGAAACGTGGTGGGACGACTCTCATGACTGGAGTGCTGCACTGGAGGGCTATAAGCTCTTCAGAAGGGATAGGCAGGGAAGAAGAGGCGGTGGGGTGGCTCTGTACGTTAGGGAGTGTTTTGACTGTATAGAGCTTGACAGTGGTGATGACAAGGTCGAGTGCTTATGGGTAAGGATGAGGGGGAAGGCCAACAAGGCAGATGTCTTGCTGGGAGTCTGCTATAGACCACCCAGCCAGGATGTAGAGGTAGATGAAGCATTCTATAAGCAGCTGGCAGAAGTCTCGCAATCGCTAGCCCTTGTTCTCGTGGGGGACTTCAACTTGCCGGACATCTGCTGGAAATACAACACAGCAGAGAGGCAACAGTCTCAAAAGTTCCTAGAGTGTGTGGAGGATAACTTTCTGACGCAGCTGGTAAGTGAGCCTACCAGGGGAGGTGCCTCGCTTGACCTGCTGTTTACTAACAGAAAAGGACTCGTGGGAGATGTCGTGGTCGGAGGCCGTCTTGGGCTTAGTAACCACAATATGATAGAGTTCTCGATTCTGGGTGATGCCAAGCGGAGAGGCAGCAAAACTGTTACCATGGACTTCC